CCGCCCGCTGGCAGCACCTGGAGGCTCCGCGCGGCGAGCGCTGCCCTGCCCTGCCCTGCCTCTCTCCGGGCGCTGCCCTTGCCGGGGCGCGGGGGTCTCCAGCTGGTTCCAGCCAGTGGGGTTTTACTCTCTCTCTCTCTCTTTTTATTTTTTTGGTATCGAGTAGAGAAGCAAAGGATGGCACTGCCACCAGCCTGGCTGGCAGCTGCAGAGCAGGGCTGGCTCCGGAGCGTGGCAGAGCGCTGTAGGCAAGGGACGGGCTTTTGGGCACAACTGATCCCAGTGCTACGGCTTGGGTGGGCGGCGAACAGAGCAGCCTTCGCCCTCAGGGCGGGGGCGGGGGACTTTAGACCTGGTTCTGGCATGTCTCAACCCGTCTGTGTGCGCCAAACTGCTGTTCTGGGTATAGATCTGTTTGGGGGTTGAATGACACTTTGACTCTTCTGGGGGAAGGGTCTGCAAAAACAAAATCGGGCTGCCCATCGTGATGCCATAATAAAATCGGAGACCTGCCCCCCAGGTTATGATTTTTAAATCTTACAGGGGGCTCAGCTCCTCCCTTCTTCCCCAGCTCCCCCATAATTCGAACCTTGGATCTGTTTCCTATCGTCAGTAAAAGTGTAGTGTCTGTACCTGGCCATGGAGAAGTCAGGCTGGAAGGGACCTCCAGAGATCATCCAACCCCCTACCTGAGGCAGGATCATCCTTATCTAAACCATCCCATGCAACCATCATCTGAATTCTACGTAAGATGTCATTAATATAAAAACAGTACATTTTTCTCTGGTTGAAAAGAAACTTGAAGTTTTACTAACCTGCCAGGGCCCTGGATTGTTCAGCGTAAGATTGAAGAAAAAAACCAATATAATTGCATTGGAATGAGTTTCAAAACAAGCTGCAGGGCTGTGAAATAGGTGCTTCATTTCCAGGAGCAGCAGACAGGCAGCAGAACAAGGGTTCTTGATTGGTGGAACATCAAGACTATTAAGAAGAGGAGAGGGTCATTAAATGAGTTTAGAAGGGATGGAGTAAATGTATAAGGTGCCATAAAGTCAATTGGCTTCCTGGGCAGTGCCTGACTAGAAATGCTGCTGCCACTGCAAAGCAGTTGGGTTTAAACTTTGGGTGAATCAAAGTGGGGTGTGAGTGCACCAGTGTACCTGCTCTGGATCTGCCCCTGTGGGAGAGCAACAGTACCTGAAAAGCAAGAGAGCTGTCTTAATGACTGAGGGGGGAAAATGAAATAATACACTGAAGATCACTGATCTTCACAGATCCAGATTGTGTCTATCTTGTGTATGTAACTCTTCTTAATGAGTGCTTCATTAACCAGACTAATAGATATGACTAGCTGTTTTTGGTCTTGTTCCAGTTATTTTGCATAATTGACTCTGCTGACTTAACTTCATGCACCATCGGTGTCACTCACACAAAAGCTGTGCTAGACACTCTTACGATGTGCACAGGAGCGCCACCATGAAAACAAGTCGTGCCTACTCAGTCTTGCTTCATGCTGAAAAATGCCCTAGAGCTGTTTCTTTTGGTGCATACCTCAGGGCCAGTCTTGAACTCTCAGAGTATGTCTACACCTTGTCCCATGTGCTCTCAGAGGGAGAGCTGCTTTCAGGCATGTCTTATCCACATGTTCTAGTATGCACCTGAAAATGAAGTGAGGAAGCCTCTCGGGGGTGCTCCCTATGGCCTCAGTCTCTTTCAGCATGTACAGACATTCACTCTCCCAAGAGAAACTGCTGGGAGTGATTTAACCCTCGTTGTTCCCAGGTTCCTTTTTTTCCTGGAGCAGCCATTTTTACTCTGGGAGAAACCCAAGTGAGCAGTGACTCTCCCAAGAGAAACTGAGTGTCTGTATGAGGCCTCTGTCTCCAGCATGCTTGTGGGAGATGTCCCCAGAGCAGCTTCACTACTTCATTTTGGGTTTGGTGTGGGTAACCAGGAGTGAGTGGTAAGGCATGCTTGAGAGTCACCCTGCCTAGGAGCAACAGGGACTTGGTGTAGAGGTACCCTTTAGTTCCAGTGTGCTGTTTAGTGGCACTGGGTGTGCCTTGTACCACTGTAGTTGTGGCTACACAACACATTTAGCCTGCAGAGGGGGAGTGTGTGAGCAGAGCTTGTTTCACTGTGGCTCTCCCGAAGTCCTGGGTGATGTATTGGTATATAACTAAAGTAAACCTTGGAGCCTTTTATTCCTCACATGCTTTTAACAAATGAGGGAAACCATGCTTCAGTGGAGAACATAGACTGGGAAAAAGAAAAATTGTCTGGTTGTTGAATAGAGAGGGCAGGATTCCTTCCTTCTGCCAGCTCTGTATGTTTAACTATAGAAGTGTGCTTGAGATGAACCAAAGGTGTATGTTGCAACCAAGTTTATAATGCTGGTGGCTCCCAAGGAAAGCTCCTGTGGGACAAATAAATATTAAAATTATTGTTGGGGAAGTAAAATCACTAACCTAGCTGCCAGATAATGAATAAATCTTCCTTTTAGAACCTGGTCATAACGTAATAATTCTAAATTTGGAACAGTGGTGCTAAAAAGTTGAAGAATCTGATTTTGGATTTTGCAACAGTGTAAAATGGGAGTAACTCTAGTCAATTAAAGTAATATGAGAGAGAAACTGAGCTGTCTTCAAGGTTTTCATAGCACATGATCCAGAGAAGAAATACAGTTCTCTTTGATTTCCATGGAAGTTTTATGGTGAGGAAGAAGCTGACCACCTATGAGTAGAGCTGGTCTGTATGAAAGAGAGACCTTTTTGGTCCAAGGCCATGCAAGAACTCCCTAAGAAGTCATGGGCTACCAGTCTGTAGAAAAATACATGTAGCAGGTTTAAAAAAATAAAACATTATACCTTGTGGGGGCCCCCTCGTAGTACTGGGCCTCATAGTACTAATGGTGAAATAAGTCCATGCTAGCAGCCCTCTCACCTCCTGCTTAAGTATAGACAAACTAAAAAAACAAACGTTCCACGCTAAGTCCCTGGAGACCCTACTCAGATCTGGTGCTGTGTTCAGAGTTTGGAGGAAATGGTGTGGAAAATGTTTTGAGTTCTGTGAAGTGTCCTTCTAATACAATACTGTTAAATAAGAGTAAGAAATCACACAATCAAAACTTAGTAAACTATGGATACAGACATGAAATGATTTATTGCTTTTTATTGACATCTACACTGTATTATCTATTTGCCAAACTAAAACAAGCAAAGAACTAAATGCTACACGTGGATCCAATTGTGTATACCCCTGCACACCCATATGATCAAAATTGCAGCAGTCTGACAGATGAACAAGAAGCAGGAATAAGACAAACAAGTAAATAGCGATGGTTGTTATAATGATTTCTGATTCGTGCGGTAGTTTTTTGTGCTCTGTGTGTACAATCTCAGTCTTAAAACCTGTATTTGCTTTGCTTTTTCAACATGATCAATGTAGTACAATGCCTGTCACAAAAGAGATTTCTACACTGGAACAGTTTGCAACCTAATAAATAGACCGGGAAAAAACAGGACATGATCGTTCAGAAGGGGAAAATGATGTACGATAGTTTACAGTGTGTATGATTTTTATTTTTTTTTACTGCTATAATTTCTAAGTCTGAAGCTTCATTAGAAAGAACGTGTGTAAATTACAATTTAGATTCCTCACCTCAGCCAAAATGTAACTTTATCCAGATCACAAAAAACCTAACCTCAGCCCCCGACTAACTTACAGATGTTCATTTTTGTTTGTTCAAAGACAATTCATAGGCAGGAAAGTCCTGAAAACACAATGGATCAAAGAAACTATAGCAAAGTTTATAAAGGAGCACTCTCCGGATGGAGAGTTGTTTGGGGAAACCAGGTTGAGACACAGGAACTTTCTGGGGTCTCTTCAGAATTTAGGCCTCCTTATGCTATCATCAGGGGCTTTTGAGTGATGTAGATGTTTGTGTAGACTGTGTTCAAACCCTTTTTCACTAAATGAAATAGGACTAAAGTAAGCAATACGTTAAGGCTCCCAGTCTACACAGATGTCGGGCAAGCTGGATCCAACTAATGTGGTCTCTTATGGGCATGTAATGAGCTCGGTGTGTGAGCACACGGAGTTTAAAGTGACATTTTTGGGTTTTTTTTTAACATCTGTGAGCAGCTTGCCTTCTTTAAACACTCTGTTTTGCCAGTGTATGCTATTGGTCACAGGCTCCTGAAGGTAAGAACCTCAGGTATCTAAACCATTCAGATTTGTGGCTTAAGCACAGCTGGTGTCTGGGTTACTGCAGTTGTTGGGGCCTGGCCAAGAGTGAGAGAATTGCAGCACTGTCCCAAGATGGGTAAAGACACAAACTTGAAAATTTAAGAGGCTTACTTGGAAGGACTAGAATTAGGACAAGGATGCACTTAGCCCTATAACCATGACAAGGATGCTGTTAATTTTAAGCATGTGAGGCAGCTCGTTTAAGTTGGTTTGGTTTCACATCTTCTTAAAGGCGCACTTATCCCTAAGTAGACATCTTGCTTCCCAAGTTCCTTGGTTAGTTCCAAAGCATAAGTGCAAGGGAGGGATTCTTTCTTCTATAATATTGCCTCTTGCTTCATCATTTTCACTCCTTCCCCTTAATTTCACCATGAGCCTAGTTAACTAGACACACCTTACCCTTAATTTCACCATGAGCCTAGTTAACTAGCCAGTTCACAGCAAAATAAATACATTTGTGCAACACATCCTTCTGTAGCAAGAACAAAATATCTACTATATATGTTTAATATTCAAGAGTTAATAGCCTTAGATGGCGTCTGAAATACTGCATTAAAGCAGCAGAAAGACTGTAAGGAGGCTGGCTGCCTTGCAACACCATTACGTGAAAACTAATATCCCTTGAGGGCAGAAGCCATGTTGTGTTCTGCAGTAAGTTCATGCCAAACTGAATCTCTAAAATCCATGTTGAGTCGTAGAATTGTTCTCTTAAAAAAGAAAAATCCTTGTGTACCAAAATGACTGACTCACTTTTTCCTTTCAAACTTCCAAAACCAAACCAAGCTTCTAAGTTAGGACATTTTCAGCTTGAAAGGTGAAAGACAAAGAAAATTATGAGTGACTGTGTAAACTCGGGTTATGGGCTCAATCCGGTGGGGTTTATTTTTTTGAAGTTGGAGTAGATTTGTCATTGGCTTCAGTGAGGGCTGGATTTCTTCTATAAGAAAAAAATTGTGCATTACAGTGGATTACAGACAGTGCCATTTCCAACTGGCTGCACATATCGTTGATAGAAAATCTATCGTATATAGAAAACTTCTGAATTCATATTTTATTTTAAAGCAATTACAAAACTATTATTTTGTATTTCTTCCTTGACCGCACTGCAAATATACAATTCCAAAATACGTTACATTTTTTTCCCCTGATACAAGTTTGGGATCTAGAAAGCACCTGTTCTAAGTGTCTGCCGTTTCAAAAGGCAGTTGTGTATTTTGGAGGCCAAGATGCTAGACAATTATTAGTTGTAAGAACTAACTGCCTTGCTTTCAATTTGAACAACTAAGAGACGAATTGTATTGGTCTTTTCAAATAATATTGGTTCTTAAGAATGTGATGGATACTTGTAAAACAAATGATGGAATTCTGACTCCCTTTCTGTAATGGATATGATGTTGAGACACCAAAGCAGACTCTTGAAAAAATGGATACAACCAATGAAATTTCAAGACTGTATTTGTGCATGCTTCAAGGAAGACATTTATGAATTTTATTTTGT